GACAAAACACTTTTTTCAGTGATCAAAATAAAGTTTATTTTTAAATACATATTTCAATAAAATATTTGATTAAAATGTGCTGAGATCAATGTGAAACTACCTCAGCCTCCTTGATCTTTTTCAAAGCAAGTTCTTCAGCAGCAAGTCTAGCTTGTTCAATTTCATCCTCAAGTCTTTAAAATTCAAGTAAATGTTTTTAAAAATAAATAAATAAACTCTACATAAAATTAAATAAAAATAAAAGGTGTAATATTAGCATAAAAGAAAAATGGAAAAAATACCTTTGATTTTGTTTTTCTAATAACTCAGTCATTGCAAAATTGAAATCTTTTAATACTCCATCAGATGTTGAGCGTTGGATAGTTTTGGCTTCTTTAGGATGATTAAATCTGAAATTATTGTATTTAAAGTTATAATTAGGTTAGAATAAAAAAAAATCAAACTATAATTTCACAATAAGTCAAAATTAATTATAGCAAAAAATAAAAATAAGCAAAAATACAGTAATTAAATAAATTAACATAATTAAGATAAAGTGTTTTTTAATTTTGATTACACCTTACATATTTTTTATATTTTATTTATATTTAGTATAAGTTTTCTAGTAATGAAAAATATATATATAAACTAAATATATATAAACAAAATATTATAAAAAAATTCACATCCAAAAAAATTAACTTTCAAAAAAAAAACTCACATTCAAAAGGATAGTGAGAAAAACCACCATGTTGAATAAAATCTTATTTATTTAAAAAAAATGTTACAACCTCAAATGACTGACATAAGTGTGAAGGTAGTAAACTGCTTAAAGAAAAGGTTTATTTAAAAAAAAAACAGAAAACCAACCTAAAGAAATGGTCTCCACCAATCACAATTCTATCGCCCTAAAATACATATAAATAAAAACAAAAATAAACACACGAAAAAAGTTTAATTAACACTTATTAACAGAGCATTAAAAACATTAACAAAACATTAAAAAAAAAGACATAGTCAAAAAATAAAACCACCAACAACAACATAAAAAAAAACTAAACAGATTTATATAAATATATATATAAAACAATAATAATATATATAAATATATATAGTTAAAAAAAAACTGAACTGCTAACAATAACAAACAAGAAACAAGCTTTTTTGGCTAAGAGTGATGGCTTGTGGCCTACGGTGACTAATGTGTGCATTCGATCAATTGAAATCCATTCTGTAGGTCTTATGTCTGGCTCTGATGTGCTAACCCATAAGCACAAGAAGTGAGTGTGTTTAGCTTTCTATTCACCCGATTTGAAAGTGAACAAAAACATAACGAGACCATACTAGATGACAAAACGGTACGTACTAATGCACTACACCATCAAACCTGTAGACATCAACAGTCTTTAAAATCAGTATATCAAATATTTGTTCTTTGTTACATATGATCTACACACAGAGTGACTAGAGTGTTAGTTGGTTCTCCCCCTGTCCCCCGAGCATTCAACTTCGTTCTTCACCTTTACAAAACTCTTATCACTCATTTTATATTTTCTTATGATTTTTATTTTTTGTTCAATGACACCATTTTCTAACTGTTTTTATTATCACATCTCTCAGGTCTACGAAACTGGACGGCTCCATTGGTCACTTTTTGCGATCATTGTGGCTGGTGAGCCCCGATTTTTTCCAATGTACATCACAACGACAAAACGGACATTGGCTATCCAGCTAGATGTGGTTACGGCGCTCAATAACCTAATGACTACGCTGACATTCATGCACACGTTCAGTCGGAAGCTCCCCAATGCACATCGGATCAGCGCTTGCTGACTATGTGCTCGAATTTAAAATCTCACTCCATAGCACATCATTCTACACCAGCACGGGGCAGTAGCTCTTTTGGCTAAGAGTGATGGCTTGTGGCCTACGGTGACAAATGTGCGCATTCAATCAATTGAAATCCATTCTGTAGGTCTTACATCTGGCTCTGATGAGCTAGCCCATAAGCGCAAGGAGTGAGTGTGTTTTGCTTTCTATTCACCTGATTTGAAAGTGAACGAAAACATAACGAGACCATACTAGATGACAAAATAGTACGTACTAATGCACTAGACGATCACACCTGTAGACATCAACAGCTTCTAAAATCAATATATCTTTATTATATACTTTTGTTCATAATCTTTTTTTACCTTATCCTTGTATATTTATTCAGATTTATATTATGTGTGAATGAGGCCGTATATTTGTGAGAAGCATAACAGCGCAAAAATATTTGTTCTTTATTATATACTTTTGTTCATAATCTTTTTTTACCTTGTCCTTGTATATTTATTCAGATTTATATTATGTTTGAATGAGGCCGTATATTTGTGAGAAGCATAACAGCGCAAAAATTTCACACAAAAGTACGGATTAGCGTATTTTTATAACAAATGTTTTCTTGGTTGGAATATACTGAACAATTCTACTAGATAAGTTTAGACTTATCACGATCTCGTTAGGTTTTTTGTTTTTATCTCGATCTGACTTCACTAAGTTAGTTTATTGTGGTTTGCACTATACAGTTTTCACTAACGTTCCTTTGGTCGTTTTGTTGACAATATTGTTTTTTAATGTTACATTTTTTAGTGGTTATAAGCTATTAGTAAAAAATCGCATTTATTGTCTCATCTCTTTATTTCCTCATTATTCTCTGGCTACTGATTTAATGTTTGTATATATATATATATATTTTATCTCTGGCTATTCGTTGTTTAATTACTCTGAGTCTGTTTTGTGTGATAGCTATTGTCTCTACTTATCAGGCAAGATTTATATGAGAACATACTATTGGAGTTATCACATTTTTTATCATATTTACGTTTAACTACTTTTGTATTAACCACAAAACATCTTAACTTAGTATCAATGTTTATGATTGGTATTTACTTATTATATTTATAATACATATTTTAGCCATAAAAGAAGCGGTAAGTTACTATTAATTATTACTTTCTATTCGCTTTGTGTTATTTCTACATATTATAATTGTTTACATATAAACGTGCATACGTACATGTGTACAAGTTTGCCTCTTCTAATGTAAGTGTACATTATATTTACATGTGTGGACATATTTGTTTATGGTCACACCACGTGCATCCCTCACCACCCTCACAAGATCTCTAAAAATGTTGGAGCTGTTTTCAAAAACTGGGATTGGGTTTTTTGGCTTTTGTAGTGTAGTCCTATTATATTGCAATATTGACTAGCATGACGTAGAGTGCAGGCAGTGAGATCTGTCGCAAGGCTCAGGCTCTCTGAAACATCATTGGTGATCGCAGTGCATTCCTGAGGAGGGGGATCACCATTTATTCACTACTTAATTCTTATTGGTTATTATGGCACCAACATTATTTTACCTCATACAGCCATGAATTTTTGCGCTTTGTGAGCTTTTTATTATGAATTTGTTACATTAACGACATTTATATATTTTTATGTTACACAGGTGATTATTAGTTATCAATTTATTATCTAGAATTTAGACCATATATAGTACCACATTTATTAGACATTTGTATGGTGCAATTATTTTAGTTATGAATACCATTAATAAACCAGCAGATTTTTATTGACTTGTTTACTCATAGATCATTGTTTTATCATTTGCTAAAGATGACTAGAGTGTGAGTTATGGTTCCTCTCTTCCTGAGTTGCTAACTTCTTCTTCTCTTACTAAATAGTCTTTACATTAATTTATGTTTTTTTACCTCTGAAATTTAAAAAATGACATTATCTTCAGATGATGTCATTTTTTAAATGTCATCATCTTCTTACGCCCAGTTTTTGCGATCATTGTGTCGCATAAACAACAAAAAAATATATATAATTAAAAAAACTGAACTACTAACAACAAAAAATAAGAAAACAGATATAAAACCACAAACAGATATAAAACCACAAACAACAAGCATGATGATTGTTACATTGTGATGCATGGCCACAATTATTAAATATAAGGTTTTCAAAAAATATATACCAAAAAAGAAAACTTTCAATTTTTAATTTCTTAATAAATTAATGTTATTTCTTTATAAATTATTATTTTAAATGAAAGTCTTTAACCCAGTACCGCCAAGTATGTATAGTGCGGTTAAAGCCCAAATTTAAATACAACAAAACTAAGCGTTTCAGAAATGAAATCCCTAATAGAACTGTGTTTATGTAAGTGTTGTTTTTTATGTAATGAAGACATTCATGAGCTTGTAAATTCAGATCCATAATGACTTTCACTCATGGTAATACTTGCATAAGATTTCCTGCAATTTTTTGAAAATAAAGCAATCAACATGGCGCTTCATTCTAATCGACCATTAGAAATAAAATTGTTTTTGAGGTACGTAGATAATAGCCACGCAAGATTTACAAATAGAGATAATGCCATCCATTTTTAACAAATATTAAACAGTCAACACCATGCCATCAAATAGAAAATTGAATTGGATGATGAAAATAAAAGATTAAATTTTTCAGACATCCAAATAACCTATAATGGAAAAGGCAATTATAATTTTAACATACATCGAAAAAAAGCAATAACAAATACTCATGTTAAACCCAATTCAAACCACAATCCAAAAATCTTAGAAGGAATATTTAAAGGATTTATTCATAGAGCTTCATCAATTTGCTCTGAAAAAGTTTTAAATAAAGAAATCAATTTCCTATTAAATGTCTTTACTGGAAATGGATACGGAAAGAAAAAATTACAAAACCTTGCAAATATTGTTATAAAAAAACAACACTCAAATAACAAAATAGTCAATCTAACAATGAAGCAACAATGCTAACTATATCACTACCATGGCTCCCAATATAATCACCAAAACTTCAAAAATTCTTTAGGAAAGCCGTTAAATTTAAAGGGCAATCTTTAAGTTTAATGCATATCTTACATATTTAGTGGTGTAGTGGTAGAGCCCTCGCTTCATAAACGAGTGGTTCTGAGTTCGATCCCCACCACGTCCCTGGTAGTACCGCGCTCAACTCATTTCTCCGTGCAGCGGCCTTGCTCGTCAAGGTTCGTGTTTCGGAGTTATAGAGTTGAGAGAGGGTTATAACAACAAATAAGTAGCCTCCTCGTCTGTAGTGGCCTTCTCGGCCTTGAGTAGGTGAATTAAAATAAAAAATAAAAAAAAAATTTGCTAACTTTACGCAAAAAAACAAAACTACCATCAACTAGCTATCCTGGAGTATACCTAATAGAATGCGAGATTGAACAAAAATACATCAGCAAAACAAAAATGAAATAAGCAACAAAAACAAAACAACACCAAAAAAATTTATTTGAAAAAAATGGGAACAATCTGCAATTAGGCATCAGAAAGTTAAATGTCCATGCAATACAAAATGGGATCAAATAAAAACGTTCAAAATAGAACTCAAAAAATTTGGAAAAGTTTGATAGGCAATTGAAATTCAATTTAACAAATGTGGACCTATGAACAAAGGTATGAATTTAGATGATGATCAATATGTAAAAATGCAATTCTGGACGCCATATTTTTTATACTTATGTAACATTAAAGAAGTCTAATTAAAGCGAACTTAAAAGAAGCCATTAAAAAGTAAAGTTACCGCTTGTTTGTAATTAAATATAATTAAAAGTATTTAAAGCTGAAGATGCTAGTATCAAAAATCTAGCTAAATTTCTTAGATTAACCCTTTTGATACACACGGGACATAGGAAGCCTGACAGATAAACTTTAATTTATAATCTATAGTTCTACCTGTTGGTCATTAAAATCTTAGCGGTCAATCTTATCTTTTATTTTTACAACCAATGGACAAACAGATACATCAAAAAAACTTATTTCTTTTATCTCAAACCATTTTAGAATTTGCTATTTGATGTGTTTAAATGTTGGTGAAGCGTTGTGGTTTGTAATCAAAATTTACAGCCTTGTTAAAAGTCATAAGAGTTTATATTTATTAATTAAAATTTTTGGACTATCTAAATCATTTTAAAGCTGGTTTTTTTTAGCTATATATCACTTGAACAACAGATAATTGATAAACTACAACTGGGACTTTAATGTCCAGACAGCGTTTTTTTAGTAATTTTTAGTAATCTTACTCTTCAAATTTCAAGAAAATTCTATTGTTTTTAAAAACTAGTAATTAATAAAAATGTTTTAAAAAAAGTTAACTGCAGAAGAAGTGGCTGCATTGATAATGCAAGAAGATATACCTTTAGATAATTCAGCTGATACAGATATTGAAGAAAGTGATGAAAATATGTTTGACTTATAAGTTAATAATTTACCTGCAGAGAAAATTTTTTGATCAATGTATGAAGATGTGATAGAGTTTGAATCAACATCATATGAAAATGTGACTGTTTTAAATACTAAAAGTAATACAGCTCATGGCCAAGAATTCAATATCAATGAAAAACAGCACGGTGTTATTATAAAAAGGGCACGGTGTGAAGTTTGTTCTAAAAAAAAGCAGTAATCAAGACCCAATAGCTATTGTAAAACCTGCAAAGTATTCCTCTGCATTCAAAAAGGAAAAAACTGTTTTCTAGAATATCACAACCTTTAATATTATTTCTTTATACTATTTGTTTTTTTTATTTTGATGTTGGCTTTGGATGTTGTTTAGAAGCTTTGTAATAAAAAAAATTAGTGCATGTCTTTATATTGATTGCTTTTATTTTTGATAATTTTTTAAACTTTACTACATTTAATTATAAGGTTCCGCATATAAAATTTAAAAATATAAAAATTCAATATATGTTAATAAGGAAGACCCTGAAAAAATACATATAATTTCAATTGGTAGAGGTAGGAAAGAGGGGTAGGGGTGGGGTAAAAGGTAGATGGCATATTAATACATGCACTCCTCAGTTACCTAATCCATAGTTGCTTACCTCATCAAAATATGAAATCAATTTTATTACAAAACAGTTGTTTTTTTCATTTACAAACTCCAAATTTTAAATTTGGTTACTTTAAACCGTGAAAATACTGTTGGGACATATAAGTCCTACCACTATTTCCATGACAACAGGGAGAAGTAGAAATAAAGTAATGATGTATTCTTAATATGATATCTAGTAGAATTTAAAAACACAACATAAGATTCGGATTAGATGTCTTAGTCCACGAGTGGTATCAAAAAGGTTAGATAAAAAAATTAGTATTGAGAGAATTTTTATACATGATGTTCATATATTTAAATAATTATTTCTTTATAAAACTTTATAAATTAAACTTATTTTTTTATAAAACTTTATAAAATTAATCTTATAAATTAAACATATTTCCTTAAATAGTAATCAGTTTACATGATGCAAAACAATTTCCTCAGTCACCATTTCTCCATTGACATAAGATGCACAGTCATCTATAAAATATTTTAAGTCTTATAAATTTTATTTTTCTGCAATTAAAAAATTTATGCACAATATTTCAGGAGAAAAAAATTATATAAATACAGCCAAAGGGAAAAACAACATTATTATAAAACACACACACACTAATTTTACTGAAAAAAAATTATAATTTGTCACGAAAACAAGTGCAAAAACCTAAATTCTTATTTTTGTAATAAAAAAGTGACATATATGTTGAATATATTATTAATAATTTATTTATTTTACACACAAACATATATTATAAAACATACATTTTTTATAAAACTCATTTTTTTATAAAACTCATTTTTTATAAAGCTCATAAAACTACATTTTTTGAACATGTTTGCTGGTACCCCCTAAATATGTTCTATGTAATAAATTAATACTAAATTAAAAAAAAAAATTCAAGGGTCGCTCAAGACCCTTAAACACCAGACGGGTCGCTAATATTTTGAAAAAAAAGTTTTTTAAAAGCATATCATGTTGGGTGTCAAAAGAAGTGAAATTTTATTAAAATTTTCAAAATAATAAAAAAAACAATCATTTTATATAAAGACTAGTTTAAATTTTATGGCTTAAAAACTATCATTTTTTTAACAAAAAATAAAAAAGTAATTTTTTTTTTTTAAATAAACTTTTTTAATTTGTGTTTTCATAAAAAAATTTTATTACTTTTGAAATTTATATAAAATTTCACTTCTTTTCAGACCCAATATGATATGATTTAAAGAACTTTTTTTCAAAAAATTAGAGACCCATCTGATATTTAAGGGTCTTGAGAGACCCCTAAAAATTTTTTTAATTCAAAATTTTTTTTAATTTAGTATTAATTTATTACAATGAACACATTTAAGGAGTACCATCAGACGTCTTTAAAAAATGTTTTTTTTTGAGCCACTCTAATATATATATATATATATATATATATATATATATATATATATATATATATATATATATATATATATATATATATATATATATATATATATATATATATATATATATATATATATATATATATATATATATATATATATATATATATATATATATATAAATATAAATATATATATGTATATATATATATATATATATATATATATATATATATATATATATATATATATATATACATACATATATATATATATATATACATATATATATATATATATATATATATATATATATATATATATATATATATATATATATATATATATACATATATATATATATATATATATATATATATATATATATATATATATATATATATATATATATATATATATATATATATATATATATATATATATAACAAACATATATCAAATATCAGAATTAATTATACATACCAAATGGTACAAAAGTAACAACGCCATTAATTAAGGAAAATGCACTAAATAAAAACAGTAATAAGTGTGCTTACATTTTAACTACTATATATATACATATATATATATATATATATATATATATATATATATATATATATATATATATATATATATATATATATATATATATATATATATATATATATATATATAATATATATAATATTCTGTGACACTATTTGAAGCTCTTTTGAGGGTTCTGACCTGCTCATTGAATATTATGCAGTGCTCATCAAGGTGCTTTATATTAATTCCAAATTTGTTAAAAATGATATCTTTACTACAATCTGAATTTAAAACATAGTTCAACTTTAATGGGAATGACAATTCCAAAACTAATTTCATGGGATTATTTAAAACATAATGAGGAAAACAATAAAAATTTAAATGCTCTGAAAAAGATTGCGATGTGTGACACACACCACAGACTTTTTCAGTGAAAGGTTAATCCTTCTTAGTAAAAGGCTGCTTAACACTAATGAACCATTACAGGTGTCTAGTAGTGTCAGGTTATCATATAATATTCTGAAGTAACTCCCTTAATTTTTATCTTTTTATCTAAGGCTTATTTATCATACAATATTCTGAAGTAACTCCCACTTGGCGGGAAAATAAAAATGGCAGACGTGTTTGAAAAGATAAATTATTGATTTAATAATCTTTGAATAATTAGAGAAGTATCAGTAATTTCTTTTAAAAATAAATATATACTATCAGAAAAAAGAACTACTAATCTGAAATTAAATAAATAATAGTTAACCTGAAAATATTAGGAAAAATATTTTCAAAATAGACAAAAAAATTATCAACTTTTAAATTTAAAAGACAAAGTAGTTGCGAATTTAAATTATTACCATAGTTCTTAAAGTTTGGAAGCTTAAAATCCAATCATTAAAAAGTTGAAACTCTATTTCATTAAAACTCGAAACTCATAACTTTAAAACTTGAAATTCTCAACTTTAAAACTTTGAATTCAATCATTTAAAAGTTGGAAACTATGGAAAATTACTTGGGTGGTTCATATATATTCATCTCAATGTTGCTTCTTTACCATATCATATTGATGATCTCTGCAGCTTTATTAGCACTCTGAATACATTACCTGTGGCAATAGGTATTACTGAGTCAAATTTGTATGTAAATGATACAAATACAACAAGCATATCTATAAATGGTTTTAACATTGAGCGTTGCCCCACTGAGGCTAAAAAACAGGGTGCCCTTCTATATCTCAATTCTAATTTAAACTACATAGTTTGCAACGACCTAAAGATCTACTCTTCCAAATGTCTTGAATCCAATTTTGTTGAAACTATAAAGCCTCACTTAAAAAATATAATAATTGTTTGCATATATCGACATCCATTTATGAATCAAGACGATTTCACTAACAATTATTTAACTCCATTAATAGATAAGTTAAATATTGAAAAAAAGAAAAATTTTTCTTATGGGGGATTTTAATATGGATATACTAAAATATAATGAATCAAATCCTATTTCTAACTACCTTGACTCGCTTATTTCTTTTTCATTACATCCTGTTATAATTCTACCAACACGCATAACAGCTAAATCACAAACACTTATTGATTACATTTTTATAAACTTCAATTCACCTGACCAAATCTCTGGCAATCTTACTATTTCAATATCTGATCATATGGCTCAATTTATCTGCATTCCTAGAAAAACTAACCACCCTAAAAAAAGTATATCTTACAGATAATGCTTCAAGACCTTTAACAAAAATATATTTATTGAAGATTTTTCCAACATTAACTGGGATCTCTATATTAAAAAAGATGATGATGTAAATCAATCTATCAGTTATCTTTTAAAGACATTTGAAAACCTATTAGATCAGCATGCTCCATACAAAAAACTAACTAAGCAGCAAATTAAACTTAAATCGAAACCATGGATCACCAATGGCATACTTAAATCTATTTCCATTAAAAACAGACTATATAAAAAATGCACAAAATGTAAAGATATCAGTACTAAAAATAAACTGTTCTCTAAATTTAAATTTTATAGAAACAGAATCAGCAATCTATTAAAAGTTGGTAAAAAACCCTATTACACAACCTATTTTAGTAAAAACTTAACACAATATTAAGAATACATGGAAAGGGATAAAAGAAATCATTAGTATAAAACCTTCCTTCTATAATTCAACTCTCAATCTTAAATTGAAAGAAAATATTATCACAGATCAAACTACTGTATCGAATATGTTAAACAACTTTTTTGTTACTATCCAAAACAAACTTCAAAAAAAAACCATACCTTCAACATCCAAATTTACTGACTATACCAACACTTCAAATTCTAAATCGTTCTTTATTGATCCTGTCACAGATTATGAAATCTCTAATCTTATTAAAACCACCCTTAGAATTGGAAAAAGCTTTGGTCCTAATAGCCTTCCTTCATTCCTTCTTAAACTTACTCCAGACATTATTTCTAAACCTCTTAGTGTTATTATAAATAACTCATTTCAAAATGGTTTATTCCCAGATGCTTTCAAAGTTGCTAAAGTCATTCCGATATTTAAAAAAGGTTCTACAATGGATATGTGCAACTACCGTCCTATATCTCTTCTTTCAAACCTAAGCAAACTCTTTGAAAAAGCTATGTATAAGAGGCTCTATGCATTTTTGAATAAATTTAAATGTCTATACAAACCAGTATGGGTTTCGTGCTAATCATTCCACAACTCACTCACTTATTAAAATTACTGAGTCTATTAGAAAAGCTCTTGAAAATAAAAACTTTGCATGTGGTGTCTTTGATCTACAAAAAGTTTTTGATACAGTAGATCATTCTATCCTACTCAAGAAATTAGAATATTATGGAATCAGAGAAATACCTCTCAAATGTTTTACTTCATATCTTCACAACAGATCTCAGTTTGTCTCAGTCAATGACTCAAAATCTACTCAAATAAATTGTTCCAATTGTGTCCCTCAAGGCTCAGTATTAAGACCACTACTTTTTCTTCCCTATATTAATGACCTTAATAACTCAATTAAGTTTGCAACTTCTTATCACTTTGCTGATGATACTAATTTGCTCATTATCAACAAATCTTTAAAAAAAATTTACAAATAGATTAATCATGATCTTGCCAATTTAGTTCAGTGGCTTCGCTCAAATAAGCTTTCTCTCAACTGTAGCAAAACTGAACTGGTCATATTTAAATCTAATAAAACAAAAATCAATAAAAATTTAAACTTTAGATTAAGTGGCCAGAAAATCATTCCTGTAAACTCTATCAAATATCTTGGAATTGTAATTGATTCCAACCTATCATTTGTGTCCATATTATAGACTTAGCCATAAAATTGAGCAGATCAAATGAAATGCTGGCAAAAGTTCGCCATTATATCAATCTGGAAACACTATTAAATATATGTGAGCCATTTTTGGCTCACATATACGATATGCTTGTCAAATATGGGGGCAATCTCAACAGCAAGCAGTTTTAAGGATATCATATCTTCAAAACAAAGCTTTAAAAATAATACATTTTCAGAATTACAAATTCAATCCTAATGTGCTTTATCTTACTTCTAAGATCCTTAAACTATGTGACCTTGTTCAATTCTTGAATTGCCAGTTTGTCTGGAATGACCAACACAAAAACCTACCTCTTACCTTCAACAATTTCTTTCCAAAAAATGCAAATAACCGTTACTATC